TTTTTACACAGCAAAACGTATTTATCAACCAAAAAGTCTCTAAAAGCATATTTCCACTAATGCCATATATGGAAAAATCATGCACATGATGCATATATAATGCTGCTTCACAGTTTAGACAAAAATGGTTAGCTCATGCATTTACATTCCTGCATTCATCAACGCAAGCAACACAATGTAGAGATAATTTACATAACATCACCTTGCAATTCATGCAGGGCTTTGCACAACACACCTGCTGGGTGTGTACACACTACAAAGGTGTCTAGATTCCACCAATAGATCATGCTGGGAGGGAACACACTACAGAGGTGTATACTTGTTCGTGGCGTGTTTATAAGTTTAGTAAATCAACCCCTATAGCTCTCACAAGATTTATATAAAAAAATGTATTGTTCACAAAAGATTAAAACCACATTGTATTGTCACAATTGAGAAACTTGTTACAAAAATATCCATGATGCAAATGATGACACAGTGGGGTTGATTTACTAACCTAAATACACACACACACCAGGTGTGTGTGATTTTCACACAGCAAAACGTATTTATCAACCAAAAAGTCTCTAAAAGCATATTTCCACTAATGCCATATATGGAAAAATCATGCACATGATGCATATATAATGCTGCTTCACAGTTTAGACAAAAATGGTTAGCTCATGCATTTACATTCCTGCATTCATCAACGCAAGCAACATAGCATAGAGCTAATTTACACCACATTACCTTGCAATTCATTGCAGGGCTTTGAACAACACACCTGCTGGGTGTGTACACACTACAAAGGTGTTTCGATTCCTCCCATAGATCATGCTGGGAGGGAACACACTACAGAGGTGTATACACGTTCGTGGTGTGTTTAAAAGGTTAGTAAATCAACCACAGTGTGTTACAGTGGTCTTAATTATTCATAATTGATTAAGCAGATGGAGTTTTTCTTTGGATACCCCAACATGTTTTGCCTAAAAAAGGCTTCCTCAGGAGGATATTAATTCTAAAGAAAAAGCTTATTGTAAACCAGTCAGCGAAAACCCACATGGACAAAAAGTAAATGAACCAAATCCTTCAATCTGTAACACCAAAATTAGGAAGGTCGTGTCGGGAAGCAGGTCGCAGTTTCTAAAAAGCCCCCTATTTTCAGGCCTTTGCATACCTGAAAGTGGTTTGGTCTCCTTAGGATATATTTACATTACTGGGGTGTGAAATCTTGTTCTCCTTTATTTTCCCACCAATGTTCTAAGTGTATCTTTCAATGTGATTCAGAGCAGATCTTCTCATATTTGATTAACCTAAGAATCCTTTACATCAAAGCAAAAATAACGTGCCATTGTCTATTAATGTAATAGCATGATGCCATTCAGGCTACAATTACAATATGGTAACAATACATTTCAAAAGTCAAGAGAAACTCATCAGGCATTTATTTAGCTATATAAATGATACAGATCTTGTCCCATACCTCATGCTAGTGATGTCATTGATTACCATTTAATGTATAAATAAAATAAGTGTATTGCTTTTTAAGTAATAACGGGATACTATGAGGCTGATCTACTAAAGGATTTGAGAACTTCAATCATCCAGTTGTAAAAAAATCTTCTTTATTTCATCTGCACACAATTGAATAA